TCTCTGCACGACCTAACGAGATCCCTGTACTCTTCTTGAGTCGCCTGCCCCTTCTTCCACAAGCGGTAAACTCTCCTTTTTTTCCTGAGTCCCAGCAAGAGCTCCCCGTTCAGCCAGGCCGGTCGTCTTCCCCGCCCGTTCTTCTTACGGCGTACAGGGACAGCCTGCTCCTGCGCCTTTAAGACTTCCTTCTTGAAGATCGTCCAGCCTTCCTGGACCCCTTTGCCTTTCAGGACTGTCTGCCAAGGGACTCTCTCAACCAGCGTCCCGAACAGGCCAAAGTCCGCCCTCCGGAAGTCCATGGTTGCGGTTTTGCTGCCCTCCCTCCTTACTTCACCGAGAATTGAGAGTTCTACCATTTCATGGTCGCTAAGCCCAAGACGGCCTCCAACCACCATGCAAACTGTCTAATGACAGACTTAAAGTGTAAGTTTTTTGGATAGAACTCCTAAATGTAGATGGCTAGTGCCGTTTCAGATGTCCTGAAAGATCCACACAGCCATGTGATCTCTACACCTTCCAGAGCAGCAACTAGAGGCCAGAAAGGATACTCTTGGGCATCTCAAATAGCACGAGAAACCTACCATTAGACAAACGAGTCTGACCCTTTGTCTGTGTTTGAGGAAAAAAGCGAAGAGAGTAAATTGCTACAAAGCAGAAGAAAAGCAGTATCAAAGTAACAACCGGGAGGACTGTTCTCACAATAAAATTCTAAATAGCAAGGTTAGAGAAGAGATGAAAATATGGGAGTTATAATAGAGACATGACAACAAAGCAGAGATGACAATTTTAATGGTAGAGACAGAAGGCATATTTAGTAGTCTGTTAAAAGGCTTTGCTATAACAAATCTTAACCATCTTAAGGTTTGTTATAAAAATGCCTATCTAATTCTTAAAGAAAGGAGTCACAGACCCCACAAATTACATGTGGGAGCTGACTTCATTTAAGCTGACAGAATTTTATTAAAAACATCTGGAACATTTTCCTAGGCAGGGGCTTAATTAAAATTTTAGCCTCTGGCATTTTTTCTAATGCAATTATGCATTACTCAAAATACTGGAAAGTGGAAAACAAAGCATATGTGAAATGCTGCAGCAATGTATGTCAAACTAAACCATTTACCCATCATTGTTGCTTCCTTCAAGAATTTGTAGCTGGTTTCAAATGTCATCTGTTGCAGAGGGGAGGAGTTGGACTGAATTCCAAAACGATTCAGCGGTTTATAAAATCCTTCAAAACACATGTAATCTGCCACAAGTGAAAGGTGCCGAGGGTCTACCACAATTCCTAAGAACACAAGAAAGAGCAATCATCAGAGCATTCAAGGGCTAAGGTTTGGGGTTTTTTTTAAATAAATCAGGTCTAAATTAAACCCCCTGAATTTAATCACCATGGAGAACATCTCTATTAACATTCTACTGGCAGTTGTACCTCTTTGTGCGTAGCTGGCTTAACTGCTCCCCCCAAATATCCTCTCAAGAGAGGTAGACCTCACTATAATACAAAACAGTATCTCTCCAGGGAAACTAAAATGTCAAGAGTGCTGTAAGGCAGCAGAGTTTCTCTACATACAATCAGTAAGGTCTGCATCATCTTTCTTTATGCGGAAGGGGATCACATCCATCCATTTGTGATGGGACAGAGCTCTAGCCCCTCACCTGGTGGCCTGCATTAGCTAGGCATCGGAGTCAGGAAGGTTCTTGTATTTTCTGTGCATGATATTAGGCATCCACAGAAAACCCCGTTTAGGCTAAAAAGAAATAGCACTTATTTTTAAATAACGCTTGTGGAGTCAGTGTAATGGGGGATCATTAACAGCTCTGTCAACATTTGCCTAGCAGTTCTTGAACAAGTTGAAGGTCAGACCATTCTGGGCTGCCTGCTGGCAAATGTGTTTTATGTAGCTGGTTGCTAAATTCCCACTGTATTAATCTTCCCTCTTTTCAATAGTTTAATTCATAGCAAGACTTAGCTCACTTAAGGCAAATTCAACATGCCTAACTTTAGCAGCCTATGAAGTCAGGCATCTTCCCTAAGCTAGTTGCCTGGACTCTCTGAATAATCTATGCAGAGAGAAGAACATTCAGACAATGCAGCACAGCTATTTTAAGAAAGGTATAAAAACCTCAACTACAAAGGGAGCCTAGACTCCCATCGTTAAAAAGCTAGAATGAGGCAAGATTAATCCTATTCTCAGGGCCACTATACAAGTCTAACAGTTAGCTTCCTCACACATGAATAGTTAATTGGTCTTGACCTTCCAGCTTGCAAAAAATAAATATACCAGTATAGAAAAGCTCTGTGAAGGGGGGAGAAAATCAACCTTGTCTAGTGAATCTTCTACCAATTAAATGGAACCTAACAATTACCCAATGAAGTCTTCACAGAAGGCACTATAACAATTAAAATGATGAAAAGGTGCGACTTAAAAATACACATATAAATGAAAAGATCATGCAAAACCATAACTTTGTAAGCACTGTGGCTGGGGTTTCCCATCTTAATGATAATAAAGACTATCTTTAAAAGTACAAAGAAATCTTACCATATACAGCAAATACATCTTTTATTTCCTTTATAATCACCCTCAGGGCAGACTCGATTCCATAATTCTTAGCCATGGCATGAATATCATTGGAATAAAGTCTGTTCAGGTCCAAAATCTGAAAGCAAAAAACCCACAGATGCAAGTTAGGACACTAGTTACTCTGTATTCCCAAATAACTTAAGCTAAGCTAAGTTAGCTTTTTTCTCTATCTTTCATTAGCTTAAGCAGCACCAATGGTTACAGAACAACTAGGCAGCAGCTCAGAGTCCAGTACAGACAAAAATGATTCTGGGGATATATGTTTAAGCCAGTGATCACAGCATTATATAGATGAATAAGAGTACTGGAATCAAAACTCACCACAGGAGAAAATGATATGAAATTAGAAAAAGCAAACAAACAAACCATTCCAAGCAGCAGAGGAACATGTTAAAGTCTTCCAAGCAACACAATGTAATGCCCAGTCTGTCTCAGCCAGCCAGAACTTTTAGCAAAAGCAGCAGAGATGTAGCTTAAAACAATCCTGTATTTGTAGAGTTATGGGCTAGATGGCATAACAGAACTATTCATCTCCAAGTACTGCAATTCATTTAGATGGAAGAACTCCCTCAAGTAATATTTAGAGACAGTTACAAGCACGGTGTGGAATTATCTGTCATTAGACACTGGGCTGCTGCACAAGAACTGATTTGCAAGCTGCCCTTGAGAAAAGGCTCTGCTGAGCTCTGAACACATCTGGGAGTAAAAAGGAGGAGGAAGAGAGTTTAAGAGCTGAAAAGGCTACACATCACACCTGCCAAATTTAAATGGCATCCATCATCCACCGTCTCTCCCTAGAACACAAAAGATAATTCAAGTTTGGGATTATAAATAGATTACATACATCAGAGTATCTGAACAGCTCCGCAAGGTTTATCCCTTCGGTATGCAGAATGAGTTCCTTCTCTCCTTGCTTATTGGTACTTTCATTCAACAAGCATCGTGTGATCCCCTTCACTTCATGAATGACTGTGCTTCGTGCAAGAGAGACAAGCAAGGAGGAGAGATCGAAGTACACCTTCATCAACGGAAGCGTCAATGAAACCTAAGAAGGGAAAAAACAACGGAGTGTTCTGTAAGGAAACTTGATCATTAGGCTCAATAGCCAGCCTCTTCTTTTTAGGCGAAAAGCATACAGGTGAACAACTGGGATTATCCTAGCTGTGTGTTTAGGAATATAAATGTCTGACTGGAATTACAGCTGAATGATGCTAATAAGAACACTACATCCCAGGACCATTCATCCACATTGCTTTCAAGATCTCTGAACTTACGTCAGTTGGGGTTTGTTTTTTAAGCTGTTCATTCAGGATGTTTAGATTTTTCCCTTCTGTCTTGCAGGAGGACCATGCAAGTTTCTCGACACCTGCAGCTTGTTTGATTTTGTTGCATCTTCTGACAATTTCAAAGCAGTATTAGCTCAGGTTAAAGTAAAGGCATAAGATTTTTCAGCACGAGCTAAACTGGAAAACTGGGGAGGTGGACAAGGCATAGCTGAGGTCAAAGACAGCTTGTTGCTGGAGATGTTTTTGGGAGGAATGTGGGAGTAGAATCGAGGGAAGAGCATAGGATAAAATTCCTAGCTAGATCTGAAACAAAAAGTTTTATTTCTGGAAGCGTTAAAATAGGTTTGTTAAAAACAGGTGGAGTGAAATGTTTCTGGATCTATGAAATTCACATTCCTGCCAGATTTTTTCAACTGCCACTGTCACATTTGGTCAAGAATTTCTGTCCCCTCTAATTACTATTTCATACAACTAAGCAGTCCAGTTTTATTCATCCTAAATTCCTCCATGAGTAGATGTGCTTCCCAATATAAAGCTCCCCTTCTGCCCAGCACCTTGAGGACACGTTCCTAAACAGCCTCTTTCAAAAGTCCAGTCATCACTTTTATTAATCAGGAGCTACACAGTGCTGCATCATACATTTAAAGATTAAACCACAATAAACCTTCAGTTACCTTTAAAAAAAAAAAAAAAAATCATCAGAGGTTCTGAAAGTTAGGGGTTGCTAAAAATTATGTCAAGAAGTACCTTTGCACTACCACTTTTTTGTATTAATACAGGAGTGCCGAGACAAAACAGCAGCACTCCACTGAAGAGATCCATCTGTTATGGGAGCTACCTGCAACCATGGCACAACCACACACACACGTTTCCAGGCACCACCATCTTACCTCACACCAAAGTTCATTTTCAGTGTCAAACGTGTAATCCTGTATTGATGGGTGGCTGTCCAGAACAGCGTTTACTCGCACCTCTGCTGACTGAAGCAATCGATCTTTTTCTTTTTTAGTCTGAGACATAAAGGAAAGATGTTGAGATTCATCACCATCTGCTCCAATCTGATCTTCTGCACTGGGAGTCCTTTCTTCTTTTTCTGATTCAGCCTCTTCATCTTCTAGATTCTCATCAATGTTTTCTTCCCCATTCTCTTCTTCACTCTCATAATCAACCTGCAAAGAAAGAATGTTGTATTCATCTGAGCCAGAACAGATACAGAAACAAAGTGCACCATGAACAGTTTTATTCATGAATATTCTTGACAGCTGAGTTACAAGCATCTCACCTATGACACAAGGGAAATGTAATTCTGTTGTAAAGAAAAATGATACAACAGCTTCAGTTCAGTCTCTATTTCTTTATAATCTTGCCGTTATTCCTCAATACAGTCCGGGATGCTACAGGTTATTAGGACTGTAGCAGAATTTAGTTTTCTCCGCCCAAAAAAGGCTCTTCCCATAATCCAACTCTGATGATGGGATTCCCTCAGGATTTTCAATTACTCTACCCTCTTGCTGAAATTACAGCAACCTATCTTTTAAGCAGTAATTATGAAGTAGTGAGCACGGAAAAACATGCAGAGCCAGGGAGAATATTTATTAAGAACCACAGTAAAGCTTTAAAAACAATTAATGGCATGAAATTAGCAAGAGGTAAAGTTAAGGTGAACTACAGCACAGACAACCTGATTGCCAGACACATCTACCCAATGGCCGAGGAACAAGGCTTTGGAAGAATGCAGATCTCTTCCGTCTCTAACTCGCATGGTTCTGTATTACTCTTAAAGGACAGCAGTGATCAGGCTCAACTATGATGACCCATGGTCATCACAAGTCTCAGCCCACATTTTCTGCTGTAGATTTCCCTCCATCCAAATCAAAACTGATCAGCACAAAGCAGAGACTTTCCTATCCCCTTTCAAGTGGGGTCTGGGGTTTTTTTTCAGCATTTTGTTTCAATGGAATCTTTCCTTCCCAACTCAAACCAAGGCAGAGGAAATTGGGAATTAAAGTGCAGTGCTGAGCACCTATGAAATCATTACCTCTTCTTCTTGGTTCTTCCTCCGTTTTGCTTCTGTAGCATCACCATCCCCTTCATCAGCTTCTGCATCAACAATGTTCTCTTCTTCCTCTGCTGGAGCTTCCTGATTATTCTGTGTTTAGAAATCCATGACAGACCAGATAATCAGGCTGGCTCTGCTAGGAAGCATCAACTGCCTCAAAAGGCTTTAGCCAAACATTTGGAATTTAACAACCCCTTATTCAATGTTCTACCTTTAAGAACAAATTAATTTCTATAAGCCCACTACTATAAAGAAATAATGAACTTATAACTCATGATAACTTTAACGTTAAACAAGATGAATGTCTACAAGATAGATAAGCTATCACCCTGCTTATATGACAGCCCTTGCTGGGAGAGGGGTGGCAGAAGGTACATGCAAAAGCCTTTCAATGAAAAAAAGGATCTTCCCCAAAGTTTTGACAACCACTGCTACAACGGGACATTGATCTGGGAGCAAATGGAGAGTAATATGCTTTTATCTCACTGAAGCTAAAATAAACAGGCAGTTTCAGAGTACAGTCTTAAGTAAATTAGGATTTAATACACAGTAACTTTAATTTCCTTGTTAATTTTATGAGAATGCATAAAGAGAATATTTAAGAAGTAATTTAGCATTCACACATTTCGCGTTCACATTGAAACAGCTTTTTCAAATTCTGGTTCTCAAAAACAGGTAAAGGAAGCGAGGCATTTTTCAGGTAATATTATTCTGTACCTTGTCTTGGTCACCATCTAAATCTTTCCGAGTTGCCTTCCGGGTGCTGACTTCAGTAAAAGATGACACCTTTGCGTTCTTCCTTTTAATTGCTTCCAGACAAATTTTAAAGAACCTGAAAGAAGCAGCAACCCAGAATGTCAAAGCTCAGCAGTACCGCAGTCAATTTCAAGTTGTCAGAAAATGAATTTATTTTGTTTAAGAAGCCAGTCAACTCGTGACAGGACATATTTTCTCGTGGATGCAAAAGCACTTCTAGGATAAGGCAAGTAATTTTCCTTCTTGTCCCTTTCCCATTCCTTTAGGGATCAAAAGGTTGGTATCATCTCTCTTACAATCACAGATGTAGCCATGCATCCAAAGCTTAAAATTATAAGCTCATCTGGACATAAAATCTGCACGTCAAACTGACCTTCAGAAGAGATGGTTTACTACTGGACTTTCTTCTTTTTTAAACCAACGAGCACATGCAAAATTGTTAAATAAAATAACCCAGCTTGAACTCATGCGGCCTGAAGGAAGATGAAATCAATGAAGCCTTTTTGCAAAACAAAAATAGCTTTCAATAGACTCTTATCATTAAACGTTCTACTTTCAACTACACAGATTTGGCCAGACATGGGGAAGGAAGCAGGGGAAAAAAAAGAAAGGGGAAAGAAAAAGCCAGCCTTTTCCGATTTATTTATTTTTAAAAAATTAAAAAAACCCCTACGGTTTAGTTCTGTTCAATGAGAGCACCAAGGGATATCTGAAGTATTCAAACATTTTTGCTGGTAATAAATGCTTAAGCATCCAAAGATAAGGAATGAGATATTGCTTATATGGCTCTTCTCCGAGTATATTGGAGACGTGTGAAAGATCTGCCATGATACAATTCTACACTGTCATCACGCCACAGATCCACAGTTTTATTCAAGACATAAAAAGCAACTGCAAAGCTGTCGCTCTGAAAGCCATAGCAGCAGTAATAAACGACATTCAGTGACCCTTAGAGCCCACGGAAAGGCAAAAGAAGAGCAAATATTAAAATATCTGAAAGCAAACTCACCTTGTTTCCATGAAGTGCAAGATCTCCCTGGGCTTCACACACTTCTCCTCTCGGTAATATTCATGGGGCAAGAAATGGAATTTGATTTTGTAGAGACGATGTTTGTTCTGCTTGCACTTCACATGCAGGGATTCCTCTATCTCAACTTTCTGCAAGACCTTCAAAAGCCACGAGTAGGAACATTACTCCTTCGATTAAGACACTTCCTTTACTTCCTGCAACTCCAATGCTTTCCATAGGAGACCAGAAATACACAAGGCTAATTGGCAAACTTTTCTGGAGGCTTTGTCGCAGCTCTTGGGGAAAAGGACTCTACCCTACTGCCCTTTTTTGGAGCTTATACTCCTCCCAGCAATTAACTTAGACAATACTGGGAGAACAGCTTCATCTCTCACCCGACTCCTTCACAGGAAACTACACTTCTTAGTGGGCCGACAGCTTCATTTTACTGAACCATGCTCATTGAGCATGACAGTATTTCAGCACAGAGCTGAGTCTTAACTCTATCCTTCCCGCTTTCAGCTTGAAAGAGTAAGACAGAAGAGGGTAGGGCATGCAGGAGAGCACAACAAAGACTGCACTCCTAGGAAGAGAGGGAGCACAGAATACATCAGACTTCAGTATATCGAGTCTCCAAGGAGCCACACATTCTGCTTCTATTGAGCACAACCACTTGTATGAGATTAGGAAGGGTTGGGGGACAAACAGAAAGGTCTCTACTATGCCAGTCACAGCCAGATTAGCTTGTCTCTTAAAGACAAAACAAACCCCCTCCCAATTCTAGAGAGTGACAAAATTGAGCTTGAGAAAAAAAACAAACAAGGCTACAGCAGAAAAACATAAATCCTCCCTGCCATTATACTGCTGCTATGTATGAATTATTACCCTCCCCCTTTAGGTTATATAGAGAGTTTGTAGCCTGTGACAATGCTCTGCAGGTTAAATTGAATTTAAGTCTCATACAGCCATGGTAACTGCAATTCCTTTCAATGCTACACTTCCTAGCAGATATTACAGGTTCAGTATGCAAGAGGTGAAAAGAAAGGACCCTCTCATCTAGCACCCACACGTGAGCCTTCAAAAATGGAAACTGCTACAAAGCCAGACTAACTGATGAGCTCAAATAGGAAATTTCGTTTTGCAGACTCTCAAAGGATACACTGAATAAGGGGCTCACCTCAGCTAAGCACACTCTTGTGAGCTGTTTCTTAAGCTGTTTCACCTTCTTGAGAGCTTTCTTGGTATTGAACACAGGAACACTCATCGTTGGCGTTTTAATATTTGCACTGGCTACCATCAATATTTCCCGCAACCTTTAAATGAAGAATGATCTTTCAAATTAAGTGATAAAAGCACTATGCAATCAAGTAAGTATCTAGTTCATCTAATTAGGCAGCATGCAGCAACTGCCAGCTCCACCAAAGCCATATGCATCAAGAGCTGTGGTTACCATTGCACTGCTCCTTTTCACTCTTCTGGTTCTTCATCAGGCAGAGCACAACAGTAGCTCTATCGCCTCAATTAGATTATCACCCCAATTACAGGAAAAGACTACAGATGATAGTAAGTTGTTCCAAGAACAGAAGAACTAATGAAGCCTGTTTCCTACAAATGCATAATGTATGCTCCTCATACTTTCTCCCTCTCCCCTGCTTCTCCAAAGTAACACAGCCATCTCCCACCTAAGGCATCACGCACCTACGCACAAGGCCAGGGTCGGCACCCATGTTATTCAGAACAAGCTGATGACTGGCTGGTAAACACGTGTGCACTGATAAAGTCACTGTCACCATACAGAAGAGCCAGTGGAAACCTGGCTGCTATAAAACAGGTCTCTTTCTACATACGTGATCGTAATACCTGCAAGAAATCATAGAATCATTAAGGTTGGAAAAGACCTCTAAGATCATCGAGTCCAACCATCGACCCAACACCACCATGCCCACTAAACCATGTCCCTAAGCGCCTCATCTACTCCTGCAAGATTTCATAGTTGCAGTGAAATTTTGTGTATAAAACAGGTCTTTCTACATACGTGATCGTAATACCTGCAAGATTTCATAGTTGCAGTGAAATTTTGTGTGTGAAAGAAATAGGTTTACAAGTTAGCAGGGGGAAGAAGAGGTTGGCAGAGGGCAAACCCACAAAGCACCATTTCTTTAAGCTTACACCGTACTGAATAAAATACGGAAACAAATAAGCCATTTGCTATACATCAGATAAGAGTAAGGGGCCTTCACAGATATTTTGTATCTGGAAAATGAACCAAAACAACCATAAAATTGTAAAACGTTAAAATAGTTCTGAACAGGCACAATTTACAATTAAACTGAAGGATTATTTGCCCTCAAGATTACACATATACCTGCCAGTGAGATTAAACACTGTTACACAAGTGCCAAAAATGGCAAAGGAGCCATTGAGTACAGAGTTTTCTCACCTTGGAATACCCAATGTGACATTCATTTCACCTCTGCCAGCAAAGTGGAAGGTGTTCAGAGTCATCTGTGTGGAAGGTTCCCCAATACTCTGGGCTGCAAGAAGACCCACAGCTTCTCCTGGGTCACAAAGAGATCGCTGCCACTTTAAGTACAACAAATCCTTTAATCTGAAGACAGGAAAGAACAGGTTTAGCTCAACATAGTACAAAATAAAGAAACTGGAAGAGTCTGCAACATTGCTCAGTTCAATAAAGTTACCTCTTTCAGCCAATTTCTCCTGGTAGTTTATAGATAAATACACTCCAGAAACTGTAAAATTGTCTATCCCAATCTGATCTGACAAACACAGCCCATTAACACAGAACTGGGGCCTCAGCCAAACCATATTTTAGTTCTGCTAATTCCCAGAATGTCAAAAGAGAGTCTATTTACTCTCACTTGCTCGTCTTAACTGCCTCGCTAACTCCAAGGTGCAGCAAGAGCACATGTTCATTTTTAACTGTTACTGTAAAGTATTATTTTATATGTAGGGGGACAGCAATACGCTGCTGTTATTCCGCAAAGCCTTAGCAGCATGGAAAATTCAGGTTTGGAAGAAACAGATAACCAGGGCCTCTCCACTGCATACTAAGCACACTTGGCTTCCAGGAACTATTCTGAAACCCACTACTTTGTTTCACAAAGGTCACAACAAAAACAAGAGTTGATAAAGACACTTCATCTTTAGCAAACTCAGTCCAAAAATAGGGTTAGTTTTTCTGGCTCAGTGCAAAGAAGTAAAGACACTGAAGTTACTACCTATCAGAAGAAAGTGCTGGGCGCATATAACTTCGTCTGTTCTCAGATTCCCATTTGTTGATATAATCTTTGACTCCGTTTTCAAATGTTTCTGAAACAGACGCAAAATAAGTATCTGGACGCCAAACACCAAGGCTTGGGTCAGGACACTTATTTGTCTTCTTCAGATACTTTCTTCGTTTCTTCTCATCTAGTTCATACCACATCTTCAATAACTGAAAATAAGAGGAGATTTTTAAGCAGACTGGTTTATCTACAATAAGATCAAAACCAAATAACACTGCTTCCACCAGCACTCAAGTAATAGCGAAGGAAGAAAAGATTACCTATATAAAACCTCCGGGTGTATATAACACATAGCAAACAACTCAGCTACAAATATGTTCTCCATTTTCTGATACTTACAGTTTTGATCCCAAATGATTTCAAGGTTCTTTACAAGCTTGAAATAGTCAGTTAGCTATCCACAGAAACTACTCCAGAAACCAGTGAAATACAGCCCTCTAAGAATGATTTTAACTTGGGAGTGAACACCCTTGACATACTTAAATCTTTACTTATAGCTGACTACCACCTCGCCTGTCTAAAGCTGGCATGACAAAGGAGCTTCTCTGATTTTAAGCTGTCAATATTCAAGCACAATAGTCCAGCAGAGACCTTGAATGTAGCTTGCATCTTATCCATGCTAATCCGTTTTACTTCAATTCTTCAGTTGGCTAGTCTTTCAAGTAACATTTCAAATGTTGCATTTAATAAAGGAAAAAGTTAATACCGACTTAAAAAAAAAAAGTAATACAGAAAACAAGCTAAACGTATCTTCTACGTGCCTTGCTGTTTCATGAAGGAGGAACTGCCTTGTGACACGGAAGTCTGTCCACTGAGCTTTACAATATACTAAGACAGAGATAAACAGGTATCTGTATCTACCTAATCTACTAAAAGAAAAAAAATAACAAATAGTGAATGAATCCCCAGGCCAAATTGTTTTCAACATTATCAAAAGTGCCAATAGCAACACAAATTCAGCATCGCTGATAAATTAACCAGTGATTAGGCGTAACATTTGCAGACAAGCTAACAGAGTTATATATCTCAACACCTTCAACTTGGAGTTTCATGCTAACTGCCCACGTCCTACCAGGGTAAATTCTTTGTGAAAGCAAGGCTGTGAAGCAGCACCTGTTTGCATTTTGTGTCCACATGTACAATCTTCATTAGAAGCCATAACATATAGGTTAGTGCCCTGACGTACAAGAGGCTTATGCAAGAGTACTTTTTTGAAACACTAGGCAGGGCTGGCTCAGCCCTCTGATCTTCGTATTTACATAGGCTCTCATCCAGCTAGCAGATATCTGTCCATCCAAGAGAGATCTACTCTGTGTACATTAAAAAAACCCAATCCACCATCAAAAAACCCCAATAAAAACAATCCCCAAAAACCACCCACAAAATCGGTAGTTTTCTAAAACCAGCTTTACCTCAGAGTTTTTGGCCTCTGCCCTGGCACTAGGGCCCATAGGCTTTAACAAAGGAATCTCAGCTTCATCACACACACAGTCGACATATGATTCCTTCAAAAGGTAACTTGTGAAACACTTTGGGACACTTGGCCCAGGTGGCCAAGAAGACAAATAGCGTCCTGGCTTGTGTTAGAAATAGTGTGGCCAGCAGGACCGGGGAAGTGGTCTACAGGCCTGTAAGCCTGACCTTAGTGCCGGGGAAGATGATGG